TCGGGGATCCGCTGACAAGTACAGTACTGCAAGTGTCAGTCACAGTGGGGAGCTGAGGTGGCATCACTGAATCCAAAACCCCCAGTGCTGGCCTGCAGCCCTGACCAACCCAACCCCCCACCAAGCGGAGACACCAGAACCTGCTGAGATGATGTGATATGCTAAAGGCAGATGCTCACTTCAATCTCCCTGTTCTTCTTGGTTTTTAATGTCTTGCTTTTAATAATTTACCTTCAACTTTATTTTTTCCTCCATAGTTTATATTTCCTCCATAAATTTCACTGTCAGTTCATGTTTCGGGTGGGTTTAATGCAGACATTCCAGTCATATTTGCATACTTGGAGTGTCTAGAGGCTCATTCGTCACTGTTGACAAATACCTCACCATAATAAAAGAATTATGCCCTTATATTTCCCATTTGGAATTTGAGAGCCATCGAATTTTTTTAAATTACATGTAGGTTGTGAAACGTCCATAAAAGCAGATTTATCTATTTGCCTTTAGCAGTTCTTTAACACGTCTAAGCATCTTCCTAAAATAATGGCCTAAGTAATTTTTTTCCAAAAGTAATCTTTTTTTTTTTTTTTTGCCAAAATCCCTTTGGGAAAAAAAAAAAAAAAAATCACGTAGGCCATTATTTTAGGAAGGTGATGTCATTAAGCATGCACTATGTGATAAAATGTCATAATATCGGCCAGATTCCTTTTTTCTTTTTTTTTGTTATGAATCATAGAAAATATATTTTTTAAAAGAGCGCCAACTCCATCGTAAATCTTGTAAAAGGAAAAACAAGGAAATGTTTTAATGAAATGTCAAATCTGAAAGCTTTGTTAATACTAAATGCCAGCAATGGTATTTTGGGAGTATTTGATGATTGCTGCCTTATAGATCATGTGCAAACTGACTCTATGACCCTTGATAAGCCGTTCTTCAACACCTTGAGAGCTGATGCAGAAGCTTTATGCTGGATGGTGACGTAATGTGGGGAAAACTGCTGAGTCTCCACTTCTGACAGGGGTCCTAATGTTTGACTGGCATGCACAAGCACTCAACGTCATGCACAGTCTTTGGGGAATAAGAAAGAAAGAAACAAAACAAAACAAACAAAACAAGGCAATGTGTAGACTTGTTTTTGTCCCCCACTGCATTTCAATTTTTGCAAATTATGCATACATTCACACCTTTCTTAACTAGAAACGTTGCTTGATTTTGAGCCTTTAAACCCAAAATGAGTTGCAAAGTTAAAAACTCAACCTTTTTAATAGTACTTATTATTTTTTCTGAGTTATGTTAATTCTGGGTCTATTTCCAATTACTCCTCCATATCCATCTCAACCCACCTCGAGGGCCAACTCCTCAGCCTCAAACTGTTTCTGGGCAACGCGGCTGGATCCGGGGTGGTCATGGTAGTACACCACCATAACGTCGTACTTCCTCATCACGGACTTATAGTTCTTGGCGTTCAGGTTGTGTACTCGGTCCTTGCCGTCATATTCGGGGTAGTCCAAGCTCTCCTTGGCCAGTGATTGCCCGCCAAATGACAGCAAGACTGCCACAAGCACCCATGTCCACTTCATGGCTTCTCTCTGAGACGATTTAGATTTCTTTTAATTATCGTACAATTAACTGAGTGGGGTTAAAAAATCTTTTTTCTTTGCTTGCAGAACCCTTTCCAATCCGCGTCACCCAGAAGAGAGCAGGACTAAACTCCTGGATCCACCTTATGACAGACCCCACATGGGAAACTGGCAGTGGGGCACAGGGTACAAGAGGGGCTGGGCTAAGTTTGACATAGGTGTGACGGCGTCCGCCTATGGTGGGGTGTAACTGAGCAGGGGTGAGGTGGTTGGTGGGGTGACAACTTTGTGTGTAGGTGTGTTTAAATGTTAGCTGCATACCTATAAAACTGGGCCAGAGTGACGCGATGAGGGCCCAACTTGTCAAGCGCAGAAAATTTGGAAGACAAAGCTGAAGCTGCTGGGACGAAGTGCAGGCGCTGTGTTTGGACGCTTCTTCTTTTCTTGCCAAAAAAAAAAAAAAAAAAAGGTGCGATAGATTTAGAGCTGGCCGCAAATGTAAGGCACTCTTCTCCCATATTAAGTGAAGGATGAAGTCTTGGATCCCAGCTAAAAATAATGGAAGTAGGACAGAGAGGTCCATATCAGGAGGGGCTACAGTCGGTGTCTAATTTGCTGCTGCTGGCATTGGTGCAGTGCTAAAATGTGGAGCTGGGTCACTCAGGGACAAGAAGAGAAGGGGGGTGGGGGGACAGGGGTCTAGTGAGGCTTCAATGTAAAGATGTCACAAAAATAGATTTTTGCAAGATTCTGACTTTCCCTCCCCAGGTTTTTGTTACCCAAAACAAGCATCCTGTTCATTCTGCCAACTGACCACTTGCTTTACAATCTAATGATGTAGAGGCCACTGGAGATGGCACTGCCTTGCAAAGAAACACAATGAGAAGCATAACGTCAAGAGGAAGGACGAGGGGATTTTTATTTATTTTTTTTGCCAAAAGTGGTTTGTGAAGATGCTCTAATTAGATGAGACCAACATTTAATGTTTTAACCTATATAGTGTAGCATGTGGAATGCTACAAGCGAAGCTCTTCCTGTAGAGGAAGACTAACCATCAGCCACGTGAGAACGTGTTAACAGTGCATAAGTGTCTGGTGGATACATAACGATAAAAGATTTTCACCTTTTGGATGTATTCTGTCTGCAGTATTAAAAACAGTTAGCTGCTAATGTTTGAGGCGACTCGTGGCGCACAAGGAGAACCGTAGGACATAGACCTCGATGATGCCGTCATGATTTCGACTCCCACCCTCGTTTCCCTTGCCAAAGGTCGTCCTCCTTCTCTCCAACTCCTTCCTGTCGGATTGCTCTCAAACTAGTGCCGATAAAAACAACAATACAAAACAAAAAGAACAGTTAATCCCTGATAATATAGTTCAGCCGAGTTAACTATCATTGTCCTAGAATATACTTTGACGGCCTTCCAAATATTCCTGAATTTGTTATTTCTTTTTTATATGTTGAATGTAAAACACAATCTCTGTTCAAGTGTTGAATAAAAGACAGCTGAGTGGAAGGACAGAAACCGTTTGGAGAGACAGGTTAAAAGTTGGAGAAAATTAGAAAGAGTGTGAAATAAGATAAACAATGTTGCAGCGGAAAAAGTTGACACAATGTTCAATTTGATGATTAAATATGGAGTAAAAGTTGAGTTTCTGCTTCTTTTCTCTCAGTGGTGTTTTAACAAAGTTGTGTTCTGCGGTTGATGGTCAGTTAGCTTTTACCTGAATGTTTCTTAGGGCATAAAACTGTCATATTAATGGAAAAACAAATGCCTTGTTAGAATAATAATAATAAAAATCTTGCTTCCCTTTTATTCTGTATTGAAACCCATGCTTGATGTACAAAGCAAGATGGATGGATCTGTGTGTGTGTGATGATGTTTGGCCTGCAGCTGAAACAGCAGCGACTTGAATGGTCTCAGCACCTGTAGAAATTCAAGCTGAAATGTGGTTCTTCGTGTTACTGTAAACATCTAGGGTAGCATGAGTCAGAGGCTAAATGAGAAGAGAGAGGGATTTATGTGTGTGTGTGCGTGTGTGTGTCATTTACACCTCAGGTGGTGACAGATTTCATTACGAGTTTTCTATTCTAATTTCATTAATTGGGCAAAAATCAAATAACATTACAGCTAATTGGTGGGTTAGTATGCTGTGCTGGAATTCACTTATGATCACCATTCTGTACATATATTTTTAAACGTACTTCTAATTTACACTAGAGTTTTACTTACTTAATGTTTTCCTGGTTATATAGTGGTTATGTCTGGAACTGTAGTTCCCTCAGCTGTCCAGTAGAGGGTGTTCTCCAACGTTAAAACACCTGTTGTTTTGACTCAGTTGCTACGAATGACTTCTTAAAACTTGAGGAACATTCCGAAGATGCAAAAGACGATACTTTAAACACGTCCACCTCAAAGGTCAGCATGTTTTCAGCTTTTACTGCTTATCCTGAAATACAGACATATACAATGTGCATAAATCATGGACATGTTATTGAAATGCAAAAACACCTTCGACATTTTTATTTTGCCTTCACTACAAAATTAAGCTACCATAGCCGACAAATGTCTCTGGCTCTCTCAATTTATGACCTAATCAGAGTTAGAGTGACTTTTACCGTAACGTGCTTTTATGACTACTACACCAGACTTTTTATTGAGTAATATTATTATGAAGTGTTTCTGCATACTCTACTCCGCACTGTGAATAATTTCACTCAATAAAGGAAAAATATGCTTTAACCAAAAATGCACCAGACACAAACCTACAGTTTATGTTAAAGTTAAATTTCTTCTTTGACAATGAGCTTCGATGTTCTATGTTATTTTCTATCTGCTGAGCCTGCGATTTGCAGATCAAACAAAGACACTCTTAACTCTCTATATAGTCACTTAAAGTACCTATTCTAACACATATATAGCTAGTATATTAGTTATAAGTTGCATATTTAAACAAAATTTAGGAAAGTGTATTTTTGTTGCTTTTTGTTTTGCTTAAAATGAATCATTTTATAATGCTCCAGATGTTTTATTTTAGTCTTAAAATATCAGAATTTGCAGGTACCTTCGTATTTTTGTCTGTCTCAGTTATTCAGAACTTGATTAGTATTTTTACGAAGTACTTTTTTATTCTTCTTTGATTCTTGGAGGATTACTTTTTACTTTTACTCGACCAAAAATATGTTGAAGTAGACCTACTCTCTTGCTGGCTGCTCTGCCCGTCTCTGGATATAATATATTTATAGTATATATAATTAATGGGAGTTCTAGCCTTTAAAAATTATAGGTTTAATGAATTTCTTGTTCCTAAGTGTTCAAACGTATTAATCACGTGATCAGGAATCGGCGCAGGACAAAGCGCTACGTGGGGGGCGGGGTTATCTTAACTGCTTCCGGTGTGGGCGGGAACCAGCACGGTAAGTTTGATAACACTGCAGGAACATTACGTATCAATAAAACAGTAATTATTTACACTGGAGAGCTGAAACAACCCGCGGAAGGTTTTCCACCCACTGACAAGGGGGCTAAGGTCAGACTTTTGATCTTCAGTCTATGTTAATGCAAATAATAGCTTAAATAGCTTTTTTAACGTCGCTGTCACAGTTACGGAATAGTTGTAGATTGAGCCACCTCGCAATGAGGTTTGACCTGCCAATCCTACCACAAGCAGCGTACTGGAAAGAACCTCACCACGTTAAACCTGCGTTCAAATAAATGAACGAGTGAATGTCAGTGACCTCTAATCACTGCTACTATTACTGCGTTGGTGCCCAGCTCCAGTCCAGGACGGCCAGAGTCAAGGAAAAACAAACAAAAAAGAGTACATTTCAGCTTTTATTTTTAATTATTTCAGTTTTGGTCCTCCATAACTGACTGAGACCTTTTGAGTTAATGTCGAGAAGGTCATTCAGGTGTATCGTCAGCATAGTTTTCTTAAGATGATCTTAAGTGGTGTGATAAGGAGATACAAATGTTTTGAGTTCTTTTTTCTCTTAGTTGGCAATGATATGGCAAGAATGAATCGTATGCATTCATTGTCTTGACAGATGACTTCAGCTGTGGCCAACAGAGCAGTAGGAGCCATTGTTGGATCAGCTGTTGCAGATGCTGCAGGCATAAGTTTTTCCCCTGCTCCAATCCTTAAGAAATAATCAAATACAATTATTGTGGAGGTTCATTTTTTGATATGATTATATGAAAATTGTACGTGTGATTCATCCGCTGCAGCTCAGCCCCTCCACTGGGTGTATGATCTCCAGAAACTGAAGGGGATCTTGGCTCAGGATCCAAACCCGGAGTTCCGTTCCGAGTCGGCCAATCCCTTCTACCGGAGGCAGACGGGCCAGCAGAGCTGCTACGGAGACCAGGCGTATGTGCTGCTGGAGTCCCTTTCAGAGTGTGGAGGTGGGGCTCGCCTATTTTTTATGTCATAATTCGATGTTCTACTTTTAACACTCATGGACTTAAAATGAGAGTAAATACTTTGTATACAGAAGATGGTGATTATTACTAAAAGTTCATTAAGTATTTGAGACAAACTCCTTTTTTGTCACCAGCGTGTGACTTTATAGACGTTTCTTACCAGGTCTGAATGTTGATGATCTGAAGCAGCTGACACTGAAATTCTTTGGACCAGGGTCAGAGTATGACACGCCGGTCAATGATCCGTACCGAGACCGGAATGGTGAGAAATCTGTACACTTAATATGATTATGGGTAACATTTTTAATAAAGTTGCTTTATCAATGTGATACTAATGGACGTTATTTTATTTCCAGGCCCAAGACCTCAGCTGCCGATTGAAGGACCATGGAGACAAGCAAGCTTGAAGAGTTTCTTAAAGAATGTCGATGCGGGCAAAGAGGAGACAGGTAAAGGACATTCACTGGTTGAAGTCTTGATCTTAAGAGGCACGTTGGGTTCAAGCATTTGGTTGTTTTCTTTGCAGGCTGTGAGACGGACTGTCAGATTGACGGCATAGCCAAGCTGGCTCCTATAGTGGCTTTTTACGCCGGACAACCGGACATGCTGGAAAAAGTTGAACAGGCCATCCGAGTCACCCAGAACAACGACGAATGTGTCGCTGAAACTCTGGCGGCCGCAAGGTCTGTACGCCCCCGAGCACCGTTTGATTACTTGAGCTTACTGTCGCGTGTTGAGGGTAGCGTTTCCACCAGACTGTGGGGATTGGTGTGTGTTCAAGTAGCGTGAAAGCTTTCGCGAAGCACCACATCTTAGACGACAAACTGGATTCTTGCCTCAGGTTTCTGGAGCATTTTATCCTGACTGGTCCAGACCCAAATGTGCTGGATGTAGTGCTAAATCAGCTCAGTGACCCCAGCAGAAAGCAGCCACAGGACTTGGACAAAGCAGTGATCGGTGAGTGAACTCTGCAGGCATTGCTGCTTTCTCTCTTGAAGTCACGAGACCGAATCATGGGATTTAAGGCACCATGCTTCCTCATTCTGTGAAAGGTTTGTGCAACAATTTGCCTCAACAAAACCTGTCTGGACGTGAAGATAAAGAGCTGTTTAACATTTGTATTGATTGGTAGTATTCCCTCATTTGGTATCTTATATTTAGGGCTGCGAGTAATGATGATCCCAGTAACTGATTAATCTAACGATTATTTTGACAATCAATGAACTGCATAAACAAATGTGCACATTCTGCAAATTTTTATTTAACCACTTAATCCTTTTTATTCAGTATTAAAACACATTAATATGCAAACTAACAGTTAATACAAATAATTTCTTGAATAAGAAAATAAACATTTTATTGTATAAAATGCAATAACCACATTTCTTTAGTGAATGCTTCGTCATTTGTAGCAAAGGATGCATCTGCAGATAAAAAAACTATCAACAGGGAAAAAGCTCAGATCTTTCTGCTTGACTTATCAATACTTAAATATAATAAATAGGGCTGATCTATTGAGTATCTTTTGGATTAACCGATTAATAACTGAATAGCAAAAGATGTCTGGTAGTAGATTGTTCAGATTTTTACAGAATTTGAACCAAGTAAAAATATGCCACACATCAATACAGTGTAGGGCTAATAAATGTTAGCTAGGTTTTGGATTAACCAGTTAATAATTGGATAGCAAAATGTGTTTAGTAGGCGTTTTTCTTCTTTTTTTCTTTACAGAATTTGAACCAGGTGTAGCTGAAACTACTTGAGTTTTGGTTAGAACTTAATCACAGATAAATATTTTATCTTAAATGCAAACTCCATATTTTTTGTAAAGTTTTGGCTTAATTAGTGCGCTCCAATTAACAATTAATCAGTACCTAAATTTGTTGAGAATTACTTCAATTGCCGATTAATCCGTTTAATCGTTTCAGCCCTATTCATATTCCTCCCATTCTGCGGCTTTCAGGGCACATTCATCAAGTGAAGGAGAATTTGTCGAAGCGTCCACAGGAACTGATCCCCGCTGTGTTTCCCAACACATGAGGTATGTTTAACCAGCTTCCACCAACTTCACTAAACTCCAGCCTGACTCGGATCAGACAAGTAACGGGTGCAATACTCACTGCAGGTTTGCCAGGTGCATTCCAGGCAGCGCTGCATGGAGTCCTGACAGCCGAGCACTTTGAGGCGGCCATCAGAGACACCATGAGCTGTGGAGGGTGCACCTGCAGCAGAGCCTCCTTCATCGGAGCATGCGTTGGAGCCCAGGTGTGACCGTCTCTTAATTCTTCGTTCTAGTCTCTCGTTCTCCCCTGGCTTTTGTCTGATGATTTTTTTTTTCTTTTTTAATGTTTTTGGTTTGGATTTTTCAGATTGGGCTTGAAGGAATCCCAGCTTCGTGGCTTAGCAAAACCTCACGATCCAACTCCGTGCTGGCGCACGCCAAGAAGATCGCCAGCCACCACCTGTAAGATTGCAGTTCGCAGCATGAGGCGGACGAGAGCGTTGTGAAAAACTGTTGGACTTTTGCAGAGCTGCTAATGAAGGCTTTTGTCTAAACTTAGGTGTGACATGAGCCAGATGTTTTTGTCTCTGTAAAAGTTGAACATGTTGAGTTCAGATGTTCCGGAAAAGAGTTTTATTTTTCTTCACCAAAGTCTTTTCTAAGTATTGATTTAAAGCTTGATCAGGAACTGTCTACTATTGTTGAAAATAACTCGTGTAGGCCACCATTCAGTTTTTTTTTTTATTTTTTTTTTTATCTTTGATTTAAGGACATGTAACCAGATTGATTAAATACAACTGTCATTAATTAAAGCTTATTAATGACAATTAATTATTTCTTCAGGTTATTATGTGTAGCCTAACTAAATTAAACTGTGACTACTTAAATCATCAATGTAAACAGAAGAAACCACTGCAGATCTAACTGCAGCTAACTGAGGCTTGAATGAACGACCTTTGATGATGTTAGCTGTACATATTTTTGTCTGTTAGATTTTGCCGTATTTTGTGTGAATTTTCAAATGCCTTATAATAGAGACATGGAAGAAATGTCTGCAAACAGACTTTCTGCTGCAAATCTGTTAACAGTCTTTGTCATTACTGGACATAACATTTCACATAATCAAAAAATCATAGAAATAAACAATATAAATTGATTGATGTCCTACTTGGCCTCACTAAAAGCATGCTTATTAACAATTCTGAGTTTCTCATAAATCCTTTATTGTTACTAGCTAAATATCATATTCATTGTTCCAGGTAGGGAAAGCCATGCTTTGCTGCATTTTACAATGAAATTAACTTGCAGTTTTAGGTGTGACCCAGACAGCAAGAGCAATGGCAGAAAACGTTTGGGCAAACGTAGATGTAAGTGCAATGGCGGAAAATTATTTCTTGTTGGCAAAAATAAAAGTGTTACAGCAGAGCCGCGTGAAGATGAAGAAAGAAAATGAGCAGCTTCAAAAAGCTTGAGGACGAAAATCGAGCGCCTCACTGGTTGCCAAAACAACAATGCAAGCAGCTGGCAAGCAGAAAATGAGATCCTGGTAAATCAAAATGAACATTATAAAAAAAAGATTAGGTCTCTAAATTTCAACTTGGAGGAAGCCAGAGTAACAGTTAAGTGATTGAAAAGTGATTATGATGCCATGGTGAGATTAATTGTGCTCCTTGAACGGACACATAAGACAATAAGACAAAATGCAGAGGCTTCATTGAGAGAGAAGTCCGAAGAACTGGAGAGACTGCAAGCAGAGAATAAAAAGCTCCATGAAGAAATCTTTGATTTGAAGCAAAAACTTCAAAACATTAATTCCAGGGTGGCAGCAAAATCCGAGGATGTCCCTCGGAGTTGGCTCCGGTGGTGGGGGAGGAAGCCGGTCAGACCTGGCAGGCCCAAACGTGTTGTGAGGATCTGCTGGGAACGTCTGGCGGAGTCCCCTGTGAGACGAAGCTTTAACTCCCATCTCTGGCAGAACTTCGAACACATTCCAGGGGAAATGGGGACATTGAGTCTGAGTGGACCATGTTCCGTGCCTTCATTGCCGAGGCGGCTCATCGGAGCTGTGGCCGCAAGGTTGTTGGTGCCTGTCGCGGCGGCAACCCTCAAATCCGTTGGTGGACACCTTCGTTGAGGGATGCTGTCAAACTGAAGATGGAGTCCTATTGGGCCTTTTTGGCCTGTGGGACTCCAGAAGCAGCTGATGGGTACCGGCGGGCGAAGCGGCATGCGGCTCGGGTGGTCGCTGAGGCAAAAACCCGGGTGTGGGAGGAGTTTGGAGAGGCCATGGAGAAAGACTTCTGCACGGCTTCGAGGCGATTCTGATCCACCATCTGGCGTCTGAGGAGGAGGAAGCAGTGCAGCACCAACACTGTTTATAGTTGGGATCGTGTGCTGCTGACCTCAACTTGGGATATTGTGGGCCGGTGGGCGGAATACTTCGAAGACCTCCTCAATCTCACCAACATGCCTTCTGTTGAGGGAGCTGAGCCTGGGGACTCTGGGTTGGGCTCTCCAATCTCTGAACAATAATACTTGTGAATATTACTTGTTATTAATTTGATGTTAAGAGATGAACGTTGTTTTCTGGTAACAAACTGTCACGAAGTATAAATCAGATTTTTACATTTGCATTGAATATTTCATACTATATTCACCACCAATGACAAAAAAAAAACATTTTCATCTTTCTGAAAAGTTCACCAACTGCAGTTCTTAAGTAGTATGACAAACGAGCATAGGAAATCATATGTTTTTTGAACAATAACAATATTTGTTGTTAATCTGTTACTAAGAGTTGAGAGCGTTTTCTGGTAACCTAGTGTCACGAAGTAAACATCTGATTTTTATTTTTACATAATTTTCCAACTGTAAATTTCTTGTGTCTAAGCACATAAGCTGCACATCAAAAGATTTATACTTCTTCACAAAGTAATAAATCAGATTTTTACATTTGAGTTGAATGTCTGTTTTATAATATATTAAAAAAGAATGACCAAAAACAAACAAAAAAAAAAAACACTTTCACTTTTCTGAAAAATTCGCCAACTGCCCAATTCTACTTCAGTAGTATTTCAAAAGAGCAGAAGAAATCTTGTTTTTTGAACAAAAATATTTGTTGTTAATGTGTTGCTAAGAAACCAGCGATTTTTCTAGTAGCGAACTGTCACGAAGTATAAATCAGATTTTTACTTTTGTGTTGAATGTCTGTTTTATATTTTTTGTCATTATTTACTACTAATGAAAAAAAAACAAAAAAAAAAACATTTTCACTTTTCTGAAAAATTCACCAACTGGACAACTACAGTAGTAAGTAATGTAAGTAGTAATTCAAAACAGCAGAGGAAATCTTATGTTTTTGAACAATAACAATACCTGTTAATCTGTTGCTAAGAGATGAGAGTGTTTTCTGGTAACCTAGTGCTATGAAGTAAACATCTGATTTTTACCTTTGCAAAAACAAAAATCAGAAGAGTGCTTTATCTTTAGCAAAACATTAGCAGTAGACTTTTCCCTAAAATAATCTTTTTAGTCATTTTGTTTATTTATTAGTCATGCTTAGCACACTGAATGGAGGAAGTCAATATAAGACAACATGCTGATTATACCCCACATGCCACTGGCAGCATTTAGGCTACCATTAGCATTTTGGCTAATTTGAGCTTATACACAAATTTTAACTTACTGAATGGAGTAAGTCCATGTTGCTCTGAATGCTTGTGACTGTCCACATGTTATTGAGTATGTAACTTACTTTAGCACTGACGCTAATGTTTAGCATCAGAACGATGGGTTCCAAATGACAGGAACACTTTGGCAGGCCATGGTTAAATTTCTTCAGAAATGTTCTATTTATAGGTTATTGTTAATGCGGCTCGTACCGCTGCGTGTCCTCCCACAAAAAAAAAGGTATCAAAACGTGCGGCTCGATCGAGGGCTATTATTTTTCTTGGGGTTTCGAGTAAAAATGGCGACGTAAAAAGTTGGAAACGAGCGAAATTTTTAACTGCCGAAATGCAGAGTGTAACTGAAACCAACTGCCGTCCTATGCTCTCATACTGCTCTCATTCATAGCGGAACACTGAGTTAATACAGAGGAGGGCTGAGCAGGCCGTTAAAAACTACAATGATGGTGGAACACTGAGTTACTACAGAAAGCTGAGCTGGCATTTAGAAATATAGAAATAGCACCATGACGAAACACTTAATACAGAGAAGATGGCAGAAGAGCAAAGGAAGTAAGTACCATATGACTCATGAAACCTGACAACCACATTGGACTGTCGAAATGAGAGCATCACATAAACTACGTCATCAATGTAAACAGAAAAAAACCGCTGCACATATCTACAGTAAAACGACACAACTTACTGGGGCTTGAATGAACCATAAACATAAGAATAGACGCCTCATGGACCGCTCTCGCCTATTGTCGCTGATGAGATTTAGGGCGGCCATCTTGGAGCGGTCCACCACTCCACTCAGCGTGATGTGTTTAGCAGGCACAATTACGTATCAGCGCATTTAATCGATCATAACACGCTTTTTTTTTTTACTTTTTTGTTACTCAGCAGATGAGATTGAGTCCAAAATCCGATGCGAGATTCATCCGTCCTGCAGTGAATCCGTCTCTCTCTAAAGATATCTCCCTCTTCTTCCTCACATCGTGTCTTTAGGAAACCTTCAAAACAAAAACGGGAAGTATCTTACTTTTGACAGAGTGAAAGAATTATAAATACTAGTCTTTACCACCTGTGTAAACTTTGCTGGTGAATGTTATAACACATAATATAAGTTTTATAATATATGTTACATTGTTTCATTTCTAATGTAGGCTATTGTGTCAGATAATCTAAGTCAATGTTAGAGAATAATTAATGTTTTAGATTTACGGAATCTCAGTTAGCCTTCATAGCGGGGCTGAACCCCGGTATTACACTATAGCTAATATTAGCTGGTATCTCGCCGGTGGACATAAATACAGTAAAGTAATATTCTAATCACAATATATACACAATAATATGTCCATCTTACTTGTGAAATGTTGTCTGTGGAGCCCTCGCATCAATAATCCATCGATCAGAACAACAATATCCCTCAGTTCTGAGGCATCTTCTGCTGTTTTGATTGAGCAAAGGAGGAAGGTATACCGCTCCAAGATGGCCGCCGTATTTCCTGCGCCGGAGCAGCCAATGCGGGTCTACTCTTATATTATGTCTATGGAATGAACGACCTTTGATGATGTTAGCTATAGAATTTAGCTTTTCAGTTGTTTTCCTGATGGAAGTTTCAGATTCAGTAATTTATAATAGTCCAGGTTTTTTGCAAATAAAAGCAAATATGTTTTTAAAAACACCCAAATCTTTTCTGTGCATTTTAAAACATATTTTCTTATGTTAGATTTTGCCTTAGTGAGGTTTTTGTGTGAATTTTCTAATACTTTATAGAGACATGGTAAAAACATCTGCTAACAGACTTTTGGCTGCAAATCTGTTACAGCAGTCTTTGTCATTACTGGACATGACAAAGAACATTTCACATACTGTAAATGTATAACATTGTGTGCAAGGAATCCATATGGGGGCCAACTTTTAATGTTATTGAAGTAAATTAGCTATTTGATTTACTCATTTAAGATGTGGACATTTACAGTTATTTAAATCAAGTTGTGAATAACTTTTTTTTAATTTTTATTTTTTACAGCAAATCTGAATGTGTTTTATTTTGCCAGTAATTTTGATGTCCTTGACTTCTGGTTTGATACACCAGTTAGTACTGCACTTCATTTTTACTTTTTATGTGTATTTTGTCTGTTTTACAAACAACAGAGGATTAAAAAGAAGTATTAGTTCGATTGGCAGATTATTTAACTTATGGGAAAAATATCTTGTTAAAAGTATAATCTGTCAGTGGAACTAGAACTTTAAAAAAATAATATTATTAAAAAAGCTTCTTAAAAGTTACTTGTAAGTTAGTTTTGTCTTATTTCACATGTTCTAAAAAAGTAGACCTTTTGTATGATTTCTATATACATTATCAAATATCCATCCATTTTCTTTACACCCTTATCCCTTAGTGAGGTTGGGTTGCTGCCTACCTCCTACGTTCTGGGTGAGAGGTGGGGTACACCCTGGACAGGTTGCTAGTCTGCTGCACGGCAACACAGAGACAAACAACCATGCATACATGGGGGCAATTTGGGGAGGCCAATTTAGCTGACATGTTTTTGGACTGTGGGAGGAAACTGGAGTACCTGGAGAAAGCCCACGCATGCACATGCAGAAAGACCGGGGCCAGGAATTGAACCCAGAACTTTCTTGCTGCAAGGCAACAACTCTACCAACTGCACCACTGTGCAGCACATTATCAAACATATATTATTGTAAAAACAAATCACTTCATACTGAAATTGTGTATTTCAGATATTATAATGACATAGATATGAATATCAAAAAAAAAAAAAGCAGTCCACTGAGGCCTTGGGGCCCCAAGCGGCTGCTTAGTTTGTTTATACCTTGGGCCAGCCCTGGTAAAGAAACATGATAATTTTACAAATATCTTTAAAAGTTGCCTCTCAGGTGTTATTTCAGTCCATTTTCTCATCAATGTGCGAGAGTTTAGAGCGATGCGCTGTCGTAGGTATCTGTGCAATCAGCTTCAATGACAGTTATGTGAGCTGCAGGAGAAAAACTAAATTTCTTGAGGAACATGACGAATTTAAATGTTTTTACATGGCTAATTAAAATCAGCGGGGAGAAAAAAAAGAGTTTTGACGATTATTTTCAATTATTTTCTGTGAAAACAACCGTCAAAACTATTGTTTTCACAGTTTTCTGCCATGCACCTGCGGCACCAAAAAAAAAAAAAAAAGACTGTCCCTTCTCCGCCACCGTAGTTGTTTCTGACGACATAATTGGGCTCCTGGGAGTCAAACATGGCTAATAAAGGGGGAAAACAGAGCCGCTCAAGCTCCGGCTTTACTGGGAGGAAAGGTGCCGGGGAGCAGGAGGAGGAGGAGCAGCCGCTACAGGCCGTTTTAGTCGCTGACAGCTTTAACCGGAGGTTTTTCCCGGTGACCAAGGACCAGCCGCGGGTAGGCAGCGAGCTGTGCTAGCTGACGGTGCTAACACAGGCTAACTGAGTGATGTCCATGCTGAAAGGAGAGATTCAGTCACACAGATGCAAGCTTGTTGTTGGATGTTTACAACAGACACCGGAAGTTTTATTAAGTTTAAGACGTGTTTATATGTAAAAGCAGTTTCATAACTTCTTTACTATGTTCACCCTTTCTTCTAATGTCAGGCTCTGCTGCCGCTGGGAAACGCTGCTATGATCGACTACACCCTGGAGTTCCTCACCTCCACCGGGGTGCAGGAAACCTTCGTGTTCTGCTGCTGGATGGCCAGTAAAATCAAGGCCCACTTATTGTGAGTGTATCCATTGTGTGTGCGTGTGTGCGTGCGTGTCTGTGTGTGTGACTTTTGTTCAAAGCTAAGATGTCGAGATGAACCTGACTCTGTCCTACAGGAAGTCAAAGTGGTGTAGACCCTCCTCTCCTAACACGATCCACATCATCACATCAGAGCTGTACCGTTCCCTTGGTGATGTGCTTCGGGATGTTGATGCAAAGTCTCTGGTGCGCTCTGACTTTGTGTTGGTTTATGGAGATGTGGTGTCCAACATCGACATCAGTCAAGCCCTGCAGCATCACAGGTATGAGACCCGCACCAATGTTGAGCTTAAAATGGATTAAGTGATAAGGGATTACGACTTTTGGGTAATTTTATTTATCTTTTGCTCCGCAGGCATCGGAGACAGATGGACAAGAACATTTCGGTCATGACAATGATCTTTAAGGAGTCCTCGCCGGGTCATAGGTCCCGCTGTGAAGAAGATGATGTCGTCGTGGCGATGGACAGCAAGAGCCAGCAGATTTTACACTACCAGAAAACACAGGGGCTAAAGAAGCTACACTTTCCGATGGTAACTGTCTATAAAAAAAAAAAAAAAACACGATTATTGTGGAGAAATTATCATATTTTTTGAGGATTTTTATATTTTCTAACATTAAATCCTCAAACTTTAAGGTGTTCTATTGTTTGATGTCACAATAGAATACACAATTGTGAAAGGGATGCATATTTTTAAAATGTTTAGCAAAAATGTCATGATTTTTGTTATGCTTAATTGTAATACAGTATAATTCCTCAACCATCCCGTTTTTTTAGTTTTTTTTTTAAATATTTTTTTGTCTTTAATTTCCATCAAAGTAGGTGGCATTGGAAAGGTCTGAAAAAGTTTTAAATTTGACTGTCTGAAACCTGTATCTTGTTTGAAGACTGTGGATTCATGGTGCTTGATTATTTTGTCACATAGCATTTTATACAACATGTTCAGTTTTAAACTCATCCTACCAGAGCTCCTTTTCCTGCCACTTTACTGTCATGCAATGTTGGTCTGTTACATAGAATCCTACTAAAATGCTCTAACGTTTGTGGTTGTGATGATGACACAAGATATCTAAATGTTGAAGGAGAATTGATTCTTTTTGACAAGCTGATTCTGTTTCTCAGAATATTTTCCACAGTGGGAGTGATGAGTTTGAAATCAGGCATGACCTCCTGGACTCCCACATCAGTATCTGCTCTCCGCAGGTCAGTTTTAATCCAGATAGACCCTAATTCTGTGACTGGCTGAGGTAACGTGTGAGCCTTCTTGTTTCCTTTCAGGTTGCTGAACTTTTTACAGATAACTTTGACTACCAAACCAGGGACGATTTCGTCCGAGGAATACTGGTCAACGAAGAGGTGCTGCTCAGGATTTTCACGTTTTATATATATATTTATTTATTTTTTCTTTTCCATAGTACCGTGGCTCTAATTCTTTGTCTCGGGTTACAGATCCTCGGCAATCAGATCCACATGCACGTCACCAAAGACGGCTACGGCGTCCGAGTTTCCAACTTGCTCATGTACGATTCCGTGTCTTCGGACTTTGTGCGTCGATGGTTTTACCCCCTCACGCCGGAGTCCAACTTCACGGACCAGGAGGGACGCAGCTGCACCTACTCTCGCCACAATGTCTACCGGGGATCCGGGGTCAGCCTGGGTCACGGCAGCCAGATGGTGGAAAACGTTCTTATAGGCTGCGACACCAGCATAGGTGCCAACTGCTGCATCTCCAACAGCATCATTGGCGACAACTGCACCATTGGTGAGCTCTCTAAGCAGTATGTCTGGGGAGGAAGAGTTGTGGAGGTTGCGGGGATAAACAGTATATTATTTTCCTGATCCAGGTGACAATGTAACCCTGGACCATGCCTACATCTGGAATGATGTTCACATTGCCAGTAACGTGGCGATCAGACAGTCTGTGGTCTGCGACAAGACCGAGGTCAAAGAGGGCGTGACCCTGAATAAGCAGTGTGTCCTGGCATATAATGTAAGTGAAGATATGTCTGGTCATTGAAATGTAATGACAGGGTTTCCCCCCCAGAAAATACAATTAAAATTAATTAAGTTGTTTACTATTGTCATTCAAGACACTTTTTTGTTTCAAGTGTCCAAACTGTTTTGGCCCTTTATCTGTGACTTGGTACTTTATTTGCTGAAGTTGTCACTGAAGAAACACTTTAACCATTATTTACCATCACGGCTAGTGGTGTGCATAAAAAAAATCTGTAATAGATAAACAAACGATGCTTAGCCTAGTGGGGGAACAAGTAAAGCCTGGAGACCCGCCAGGCTTATAAATGCACTGGGAGAAACCCTGTTTGATGTTTTGAGGAGCCGACGATGCTAAACGACTCCACACATATCTGTGTTAGATCAGTTAAAATAACTAGAGCAGCAGGTTTTTGGTGTTTTATCTTTTTATATTGAGGTTTTACCTCCCAGCCCTACGTATCGGCGATAAATCGTAAATGAACACATTTGTGATGATCGGCGTGAACCGTTTTCCAGGTGGTGATTGGGTCAAACATGTCTCTGCCAGAAGGAACCGTGGTGTCCATGCACCACCCAGACGAGGAAGAGGAGGACGACGCTGATGAGTTCCTCAGTGATGACGCCGAGGTCGGGCAGAGCAAAGACAAAACCAAACAGAAAAGTGTGTATTATTTCCCCATGATGCGCGTGTGTTCTGAAGTAGTTCACATGCAGTGGCATAAAGTGCGTTTTTAACGTGCCTTGCAGTTTTTAACCCAGCGGAGGTTGGAGCAGAGGGGAAAGGTTATGTCTGGAAACCCGGCGGTCTGGATGACACGGAGGAAGAGGAGCTGTCCCAGGGCCTGTGGGGTAGGAGAGCAGCTCTCAGCGTCTCACCCTGGCCGGTCCCAGGATGTTCGTCCTCATGAAGGTTTGCTTTTCGTCGGCCAGGTTTGGTGTTGAACCCAGATCCTGAGAGCGACAGCGAGGACAGTGAACCTGACGGCCCCGATGACCTCATGATTCCCTCACCTGAGATGGACGACGTTAAAGGTGACGTTTATTACACATAATTGAAAAGTATTCAAATGAACTGCAGCTTAAAAAGTACACAGACCTACCAACATTAATTAGCCGGTTTCTGATTTACATCCAATTATGCGGTCAATTAACAGTGAGCAAACAATTTAAAATAGACCAGATACATTTATCATGAGGTTTATGGTTCAAATATATATTCCTGGTCATAAACAGATGAACAAAGAATTATTCCTAAAACCGAACGGTGAAAAACTTGTCTTATAAATTGCTAACCATTGGCATAGTAGCTATCACTAAGCTAAACTTATATTTCCAAGCAAAACAACAGAAAATAACAGCAGCAGAGACACAACTTGCATTGGTCAAAACTGATTTGAAGCAGCTACACCTTCAACCAGCATGCTACTTTTACTCTCCATTTCTTTTCACCAATAGGTGGCGCCTCTGAACTTCATATTAAAAAATGAGAAAACGAAACTTGGGGACCTCTGTCTAAAATAAAACTGCTAACAAATAAGGGTGATGCATATTATATGTTGAAGATTTTACAATAATACCACTGCAGAAGTATTTTCCAAAAATATCTAATTTAAGATGCGTATTTAAATTAGTCTGGAGAAGAGACAGGGGGTTTGGCATGAGAAACATCAGGCATCTGTTACTCTGAAGTCCAGAGAATTATCATTGTGGTTTTCTGTGCTGCAGTCTTCCAGATGGAGGTGATGGGGACTCTGCAGCGAGGTCTGGAGGAGAACATCGGCTGCGACAACCTGGTGCTGGAGATCAACTCTCTCAAGTGAGCCGAACCTCCGAACCTGCTCACAGCCGAGCCGCTTCCTCCACAACCTTTTGTGTATCCTCGCTCTACGTCTGTCTGTCTCCAGGTACGCCTACAACATCAGTCTGAAGGAGGTGATGCAGATATTAACCAGCGTAGTGCTGGAGTACCCCTTCCAGCAGCAGGGCCCCAACCTCACGCCTTCACAATACGTTGCTCTGCTTCTACCTGTATGTATCGCACCGACATTTCTCATCAGTTTTGGTAGAGAACTGTAGTTTTAATTCCCCTTCTTCTCCCTCCCTTTCTATTTAGCTGTTGAAGAAATGGGCACCAGTCTTTAAGAACTATGTGAAGAGAGCCCAGGACCACCTAGACTGCTTAGCTGCCTTTGAGGAACACTTTCTGGAGCAGGAGAGCCACTGGCCTGCTATGGTCAAGGTCAGGACCAAACGGCACGACCAAACAGAGCAACTGATGTTATCATTTAAGCGATGGCCATCCAGTCTGTATGCGTTGTGCTGTTTGCATCTAAGGTCCTCATGAGCATGTACGAGCTAGAGATCCTGGAGGAGGAGATGATACTGCGCTGGTTTTCTCAGGGAGCCACGACAGACGCAAGCAGACGGCTCCGAAAGAACCAGGGGGTGAGTCAGAACTCGGGTCAAGAAAACACTGAGATAACAACTTAGGGCTGGACGATACAGCTGATTGCTAGGTAACCAAAGAGTGAGTCAGTCGATGCCAACAACCATGCTTAGCCAGCTGTGAGAGCTTGAGCAGCTCAAGCTTTTCTTCTGCCTACTTTTTTTTATTATTAAGATCATATTATGATTTACTCCTGAAATGCCCTTTTTGGAAATATTTAAAAGTCACTGCCTCTGTCTTCATCCCCAAACCTTCAGTAAATCAGTATATGTGACCTTGATTTCTGATGTCCATTTCCAGCTTCAGAAGTTCATCCACTGGCTGGAAGAGGCCGAGGAGTCTTCAGAAGAAGATGGGGAGTAACGTGGAGCACTTAGTGATAGTTTTAACTTATGAACTCTTTAGCATACGCTGCCGTGTGACGGATGCAGCAGCTTCAACACCCTGCAGAATCTGCTCTCTGCAGGTAAAGCAAACATCCATTATTATCACAGACATCTAACTCGCGTCCAAAACTCTTGTGATCATAATGCTTGTAAGAATAAAGAACAGGCAGTCAGTCTGCTCAGACTGAAGCGTCACCATTTCTTTTACTTTTCTCTTTCGTTTGGAGTCAAAAAGACTATAAATTAAAACAGTCCTATCGTGTGTCACAAATATCTATCTCTGCAAAAGGACTGAAATCATTTTCCACTGGTAAAATTATTAAGCTTGAATAAGATTCACAGTAAAAATATTGGAATAAATGTATGCTTGGACTGGGCACAACCTTAAAAAGTCTTTTGCTTTTTAAAAATGTAATTTGGCCTTAAATATGTCAATAACAGGCCTTACATTTTGTTGTGGCAGGACTATTTAATTCTGCCTGGGAAAAATTTGAGTACTCAGACATCTTGACTTTGTTCTTTTTGACTCAAAGTGGTTGAGGCGACCTCTAGCTAGCTAGTTAGGCTAACTAACTAGCTAGGCTAGCTAGCTACGCTAGTTAAGCCTACTTAGACCTTTGTTGCATTGCAAATTCATCTCCAGGGATGAATTTATAAGTTTTTCGTTTTTGAATCCAAACCTTAATTTAAAAGTTTTTAATTAAAGTTAAATGTGAAGTTTTAATGTTTTTAATGACTTAAATTTGACTTACTGAAACCTGTAGATACGCTTTGGAGCAGAAAAAGCTGCAAAAACATTTTCACCAAAATTTATTTAAAGGTACACCTTTATTAGACGAAAAACTTGTTTCCTTGATTAAAAAGCAGTAAAAATGTCCCAAAAATAATGCAACTAAAAGCTTGTGTTGCTTCACATCAATTAGTATGTTCACATTATGTCCTTCGGTAGTCACTAATCATAGCACTAACTGTCATTAAGGTCAAAAGCTTTGAATTGGTCCACTTGTGCTTTAAAATCTTTAAAATACGTTTCGGTGTTGCGGTTAATAGGAATATAAAGCATGAATGGTGGCTGTTTTTTTTGGTCTTTTCTAAGTGGAAACTTTAGGCACAGTTTTAAACCAGGAGGTCTGCGCCTATCTGGGTCTGTCGTCCGGTTTTCCGAACGCTTTGTACAAGATGCCGGCGAACAGAGAAGCCGCGGTGAGGCCGGTCACAGCCGACAGCGTCTTCCACATGCTGGCCGAAGCCTCGTGTCTGTCCATGAAGCTCCTGTAGTCGCTGGGCAGCAGGATGTAGCTGCGTCCGTCCTGCGGGGCCCGCAGGCTGACCACCCGGCCTCCCTCCAGCACCACCTCTCCGAGCCCCGTCAGGCTGCTTCCCACACGCAGCATCTGTTCGCTCTCCACCATGGCCACGGGTTTCTCGCCACTCAGACCCTGCGCCACCATCTCCGCCAGACCCTCCTGAGCGTGTCTCATTTTGGAGTAAACCCTCTCCATGTAGCACCCCGAGGCCTCCAGGGGGTTCTGCACCTTCACGTGAACGTCGGCGATGTAAGAACCGGGCTGGACTAAACTGAAGGGGACGGAGTTGTTGGTCTCGTTCTTGTTGATTGTCCGGGAGTTCCTGAAATAGAAGCTGTTATAAATGACTGATATTTACACTTAAGTGACATTTAGTTTGATGGACAAATTGAATATAATGAGGAATTGTGAAGCGGAAGGAAAATTACATTACATTACAAATTACACATTAAAGTCACAAAAATGACTGCAATGACTTAAAAGAGACATTGTAGTTTTAGCTTTCTTGTTCATTAAAACCTAGAAAAAAACATAGAAGCAACATTCAAGTCTCTTCACAGATCCACAGCTCAGGTGGGAAAGTCTGAGAGTACAAGAAAAGGCAATGAACTCCTAAGAAATACCATTGCGCGCCACACTGAATACTTCAGTTCTGCTGTGAAACACGGTGGTGACAGCATCATGCTTCCTCTGATACAGCAGAGGTTTTGTTTTCCAGCTGCGCTACAGTGGAATGACTTGGGCGAAAACGTATGCATGTGTGGCAGAATAACCCAGACCAAATTTAGAATCTGTCGCAACACTTGGAAATAAATGTTCTCGGATGCCTTCAGCCTTAGTTGCCTGAGTTTGAGATATTTTCCAAAGAATGGAGGAAGCTGCTGTAAAGTATTTTTACAAGTATTGTAGTACAATTGTGCTAGCCTGGTTTCTTCGTTCAGACAGTCTGGAACCATCAGCTATTGAGAAACAATTGCTTCCTGGAGGTGTTTGTTGAAGTTTTACATTTTTCCCAATTGCTAAACATTTGGTTGTGAGGGATACAATGTGCCGGTTTGACACTATGAAGTTTACCTAAAATTGCCTGCTCTGTATGCAACCACTGCAAAGAGTGCCGAGCTGAACGAGGTGGCTGTTAATGTTGATTCGATATGTGGAAGTGTGACCTATAGAGACTTAACAGCTTCGTTCACTTCCTCCACTGCCATCGATAAAACTACAGGCAGACTACAATTCTAAAACTGTGCAGAAAATCACAACTTCTACTGTCTGCTGATTGGCTCGGTTGAAATTGTACCTAAGAAATCCAACTTAATGGGAGAAAGCCCAGACAGAGCACTGAAAGGAGATGACAATCAAACAGCAATGGCCAGACTACATTTATGCTCTCCTTAAAATCCGCTGAAAGATGTAGTTACAACAGAATATTCAAATTATCAACCTTTGTGAGCGAGTTATAGTTACCAAGTCCTGGTGACATGGCTCCAGTATTTCCAGTGCTCTTCCACTACAACCTTCTGAATCACACCATGGCATCGAGGGACAAATTTGCTTTGCAGGACCTCCCCATCAGCCTGAACAACGCCTTCACACAGACAGACAGAAAACTGAAAGTCTTCAAAAACTTCACATTGTACAAAAGTATAATTATAATAATAATAGAGACGGGTTTCTACCTTCAACAGCAACATACTGGAGTCGTTTGTGCGAAGATGCGTTCAGCACTTTAAGTAAATGGTCATCAGGTTTGAAAACTGGGATTTTCTAAAAAATGAGAACAAATTTCAGTCGCCATGAAACAAGGCACAGCTACCTTATAGATTCACAACAGAGGCCAAACTTGCCTTGAGCAGTTTTATCTCCTCCTTCTTTCCCCGATAGAGGTTATAAAACAAACCGGAGAAGGCAATGCTGGTGCCCATTCCGATCAAAACCAAGGGGTGTGGAGAAGAGTCACCCATAGCTGAAAACCTGGAAAGTGAAACAGTTTATAACAACCTGCATGGCAAAGCAGAGAAAATGCTGAGGATGGCAGTGTTGAAACATGAGTTTAAAACGGATCAATTACATTGTATTTTAGTTTCAAACTGGATAAGTTAAAAACAAACCTTTATCTAATAAAACCGAAGGGTAAAGGAGTCACATAAACGTGCTGGAGCAACAGAAAACGAAACAAAGGCTTAGTTTGTAGTTTCAATTCCTTGTTTTCTTGATGGCGTCACAACTACTCAACCAATAGAATTCCAGCTGTACTTCTCTTGTCCAGCAGGTGGCAGCAGCGACGTGAGAAGTCGTTCAATTTTCATTCACTTAATCCCGTTTCAAGGATAAGTAATCGGGTACTTTGTAACAATTTGGCTCTGCACTGTCTAAAATCAGTGTTTGATATAATATGGATTATTTAAACAGTAATGCGTCATAATATAATATTTTTCTATATATGATTAAACATTTCTAGTGTCTGTCCATTTGTTTTTAACCTACAAAGTCCTGCAATACTCTAATTTATGATTATTGAAATGTTAATTGATTTCAGTAACTGCTTACTAAGTGAAACACATAATGGAGAAGAATAACGCCCAGAATGATATTCTCCAACCTTTATTTCTGTTAATTATGATTATTATTCACAGCTAATGAAAACATGACAAGATTATAAAATTACATCAGACTCATAATCGTAATAATAACAATAATAATAAAAATAAATAATTCTAGTACAGACATCTATTCTTAATGAAAATGATTTATTACTTGATCCTTTTAATTAAGTAAAAAAAATGCTTCTCATGAATAATATAACCTGGCAAATTTCTAACTATTTGCAAAGTTATATATAAAAAGTCTAAAGGTGCAAGAGTTGTTCTTTTTGTCTAATTTAAGTTATTTTAATTAACTCTCTGATGTTCTGCCTTGTACTCATTGCTCTGGGAAGACGACCACTACTCCATGTTAGCTTTGTGTGTTTTCTGCTTCTTGTGGTGGTGTGTTACAGAGTAAACCTGCCAGCATGAATGATGCATTTACGACTGGGATCATTTCTAAACTGAGTAATGATGCATTTATTTTTTTATATTTCCTTCAGCTTTTCTGACAGACATATGAGTGTTTCTAAAGCACTCGTGTAGATTTGAACTGTAAGTATTTTTCTCATTGACACCATCTGGCTCATTTGCTTCAATACAAAATGATTTATCTTATTTTATTTTATTTTTTCAGTTTTCCCCTTTTTTTGTGGAAAATATAAAATTACCACATTTGCAGTTCACCTGCATGTTCAAATCGTTCACGCCGAACAAAAAAAAAAGAAAGTGTCACAAATGTGGGCTGAAAAGCTTTGAAGTGCTCATGGCTGCTGAAGCGTATAATTAAGAGTTACAGATCCTTCCTCAATAGCAGGCTTTCCAGACAAAGCTTGAGTGAATTTTGAGTCTGAATGAGACCGAATGCTGCAATTTCCTTCGCTATGGTAACCTGGGCCGCCAATTTGAGCTTATCAAACTGACTTTTAAAGATAATTACATGCTATACATAAAGACATGCTTTGATATATTCAAATCAGATAATTCAGAAGCATTAGCTTGGTTAGCAGTAACACTGTCCAGAAACTGTCCAGAAAGGATTTAGGATTCACTTTGCTGTTCACTTTACTTTGAGTAAAACAATATTTTTTTTGCTCTCCCATCAACTACAGCATCTTGAAGTCTTCAAAGAGTGATAGCAACTCCAGACCATCACACTACCTCCACCACATTCAATCTCCTTTTTCTGAAACCTTCTGTTTGTTTTGCACCTGACATAACGAGAAAAACGGCTTCACTTTAGTCTACAGAATATTTTCCCAAATTTCATCAAGATATTTTTAAGCGAAAGGTAAGACGAACCTTT